AATCATATAAAATAGATGTAAACAGCATTAGTAAATCTATTCATACTAAGAAGATATATTTTTTTAAATGCTTTATCTTATAAATAAATGTGGGGCAACTACATTGTATGAATAGACAGTTGGCAATAAAAAGCTTCACTTTCAAAAACTATGAGCACAGCTAGGTAGTTTCTGGTTTCTGAAGGTAGAATTTACTTGAAAGCAATGTAAATCACCAATTAGTTTATTATAAAAGCAGAAAGAGGAACCTAAATAGGATGGTGAGAAACAGGCATGGTCACATGCGAAAAACGTAAAAAATAAATTTGTGAAGAATCTAAATGTTTTCTAAAAACCACTGCATTACAGATAAGTATGCTCAGATTTTTAAAAATCTCTACTTTGTTATTAAGCTTTTACTACTCAAGACAATATTTAAAAAGTAAAGTCCACAAAAGCCCTTTGACAGGAGATAAAATACCAACATTTACTTGAGTGCTTTTATTTTATTCAACCTTGTTTTTTTATTTCTGCCTAGCTCTGAGAAATCAGTTCAAAGAAATTAATACATGGCCAAATTTATACTAACATTGATAAAAACTAAAAGCTGTACATTTATTGAAAAATAATGCAAGCATATGATGCCCAGTAAAGCATCAATGAACTAGAGTCCAATTAGATCCTAAAATTATCTGCAGTGTTTAGCTTTTCTACCTTCCTACTATACACAAACACACATACCCATACACACATACATAGAGAAGGAAAACAAACAAAGCTAACACAAGAAAATAAGATCTCAAATAGAAAGAAGCCTCACATGTGAAACAGAATCCCTTCCCATCCCTACAGGCTGTAGGAGCTGTAGCTGGTATGTGATTTATCAGTCTACTCAAATGAGAACCTAATCCTAGGTTGCAGAGTTAGTGTACTGGAGCCTGTGTCTGAAGTTTAAGCAGGACTTATAAACCTGAGATATAAACTGGCTGTGGCAAGAGGGAAGACTGGAAACGACTGGATCTCTTAGAATCTACACTGTTGCATTCTGAATGAAATGTTGAAAATCTCTCATTTATAGCTGTGCAAACAAACCAGAAATTTCTTGTTGTAACTATCAAAAAAAAAAAAATAAGATCTCATCACTACAAGCAAATTAAATCATGATTCAGGGTACATACTGTCCAGCCTCTCATACAGTTTTGTCCAATGAGAATACTGAGTTGCGAAGATACTGCAAGATCCTCAATAAAATCCTCAGTCCAGTTGTGATTAAAGCATTATACTTAACAACAAAACAGTGCCACAGATACACTGATTTACAACAAGGGCTTCAATAAAAGGTTAAACTTCAATTAGCCAGAACACTCAACTGCCAAAGTAAATTCCTCAACCTATTTTTTGAGCATTCCAATTAATGAGTTTTTTCCATGCTTTTGATGCCCTAATTTTTGGACAACGAAGGAAGAAAGCAACTGGATAAGACAGAGCAGCTTGTGGGTATGAAGTTTATTCAAATATACTCTAAAGTATGTTTGCTCTCTAAAAAAATTCACATTCTGAAAAATGGCAGGCTAAAAATAACAGGGCTAATGAGGAAAAGAGAGTGGGGACAAACCACTGAAAAAAAAACTATACAGCTCTGTCACCAGAACACTGACAAAAACATTAATTGGTATCTGGGAAGGTAACTTGGGCTGACCAGGCAGGTAGCTTAATTTGGCTGAAGGCTGCCACGAGGACATAAAAACACATCAAAATAAGACTAGGAGGTTCTCAACCAATAAGATAAAAGTGCAGTTCCGAGCCAGCGAGGGTGCTAGTCAGGAGGCCATCCATTGGTAGAGAGTCACACAAAAGCTGAGAGGTAGACCTCTCTGGGAAGAAAACCTCAGGTACAAGCATTCTTATTAATGTTCTCCAGTTGGAGTGGAAAGTCTACAAGCTGGCAGTGCAGCAGCCAAGCTCAGGGCGACTTCCTTCCCCTACAAGTTATAATGCCAGCTCCCCCACCGCTGCCCTGCCTCCCCTCGCCTAGGAAAAGCATTCCACGTGAAGCAATGTAATTTTTGTGTTCAACTGACATAATTCTCTGATTTCCAACATGTATGAGCAAATCCACATTAAAGAAACAAAAAGATCATGCTTTAAATAAGTTTGCAAAGTAAAGCTAGATATCCTTTTAGGCTCCATTTTCTTTTCTTTTCTTTTTTTTTTTTTATCTTTCTCAGGATAACATTGTGTGATAGTTCAGGGCTGTGATTTTAATCCATAGTGTAACTATATAGTTAGTCATTTTGGAATACAGTAAGTTCCTATCAGCAAACAAAGATGCTATAAAATCTCCCATCTAAACAAACAAACTCCTTTGGCACCACATCCTCCTACAGGGAAGAGTCGTGCATACTTACTGACTCGACTCTGAACTTTATATTCTCTTTTGAACTCATTCCACTTAGACTTTGGTCCCCAGCACTTCAATGAAACAGTTCTTGTTAAGAGTCACTAATGACTTCTCTGTTGTTGATCCAGTGGTCAGCTTTCAGTCCTCGTTTTACTTGACCTATTGTTAGTATTTGAAGCAGCTGTTCTTAAAGCCTGGTTTCACTGAGTTTTGGGGATGCCGCTCTCTTTAGGTTTTCTTCCTCTCTTTCTGCTACTTCTCAGTGTCCTTTGTTGGTTCCTCCAAATATTGGAGTAACTCAGGGTTTGTGTTATAAACTTTTGTTTATATACGTGCACTTAAGGTGACCTCTTCCTGTCTCATGGTTTTAAATACTATCTAACTTAAGACCTAAATTTATATCAACCACAATTTCTTTCCTGAACTCCAGAGTCATATATCTGATAGACTGTTTAACATCTCCCCCTTAGTATATAATGGTCACCTTGAGCTTAATATGTCCAAAACTAAACTGATTTTCCTTCCAAAACTGGCTCGTCCCACATGTATTTCCCAATCACGGTAAAGGCACCTCCATTCTTCTCCTCACTCAGGTCATAAACCTTGGAGTCATCCTTGCCTCTCTTCCTCTTTCACCCTCCCATCCAATCCACTAGCAAATCATGATGACTAAAACTTGTAATATAATTAGAATTAGACGACATCTTGCCCCCATCACTGCTACCATCCTGGTGCATGACAAATTCATCTCACTCTTGTTTTCTTGCAGTAACTTCTGAACTTCTCGCTGAGCTTATTCCTTTCCCATCTTCTTGCCTCCTTACCCCTCTACTGACTACTCTTCACATAGTAGCTGAAATGATCCTTTTTAATAATGATGCTTTTTCATAAAAATAACGTTACTCTTCTACCCAAAGAGCTCAGTGGCCCCCCCCATCTCATAATTAAAGCCATGGTCTTTTTGATGGCCTACTAGACCCTACACTCTTCCTGCTGCCTGTTCTTGTAATTAAAGTTTCATTGGAACATGACCACACTCATTCATTTACATATTGTCTGTGACTGCTTTCAGTAAAACAGCAGAGTTGAGTCATTGTAACAGAGACTCTATGGTCTGCAAAGCTTAGCTATTTACTGACTGGCCTTTTACAGAAAAAGTTTGCTGACCCTTGCTCTAGAATGTAAGGTTCTTTTTTTGTTTTTGTTTTTTTACATCTTTATTGGAGTATAATTGCTTTACAATGGTGTGTTAGTTTCTGCTTTATAACAAAGTGAATCAGCTATACATATACATATGTTCCCATATCTCTTCCCTCTTGTGTCTCCCTCCCTCCCACCCTCCCTATCCTCCATTTTCTTTTGATTATTTTTCTTCTGGAGTGTTTGCCCTTTTCTTTTTGAGTTACATGAGTTAGCCAATTGTCAAATGTGTAACATAAATTACAAAAGTTAGCCAATTGTCAAGTGTGTAATAATTTTTTTTTTCCAGTTTATCATTTGACTTTATGCTTGGGTTCACGGTTTGGGGGAACTTTTTTAATGGTTTAAATTTATATGTCAATGGATTCACCATTTCTATTTCCTGAGATTAAAAGCCTAGTTTACACATTACCTACTCCAGTGTTATAAATAAATTCAGACCTATTTTCTTCAAGTACATTTATGTCTTATTTCTTACATTTAAGTCTTTGATTTATCTGAAATTTTACCATAATGTTTGAAGTAGAGATCCAGTCTGATTTTTCATCCACAAGTGGATAATAAAGTTTTGTATTTCCATCTGTTTTTCCCCACTGAGTTGAACTGCTATCTTCATTATACAAAACTTCAAATATATTTACATTGACCCTCTTTTCTACTGCACTAATCTCAGTGGCTGGAGGCTATGACAGAGTATGTTTAAAATGGAAAAAACAGAGTAGAAATGCTAGAAACACTTTAATTGAAACAGTGCAGGGCAGTGCTGTTTAAATACTGCAACTTCCTAACATATTTTATATCTGATGATCCTCCTCCTCCCCCAAATCATCTTTTTCAGAAAATTGTACCATGTGCGTATATAAAATATTAAATTACAGTACCTGTCAAAAAGGAAGAAAAAATTCTTAAAAGAGGCTGTAATGAAAACTGAGGTATTCTTTTGGAATCAAAGGCCCACAGGATTACTCCTTCTGACATACACTTAGGTTGCTTTCTAATTTTATAATCAATAAGGAATATTAAAAAGAGTGGCCAAATAAACTACTATCTAAGATTGGCAATACTGTGATCTAAAGAAGCAACAGGTCTGGATATTTGGATTTCAAAAGTTCAAAGACTGAATAATTAAATGTTACGCTGTAAGTTTTTCCAGAAATTCCAGTTTCCTTAATTATATAATCTCTATGTTTTATAAAACCTTATCTAGAGCTTAAAAATATCCATGTACTAATCATTAATTAATCTGCTTTCATTCCTATAGAAGTCTTATAAACATCTTTTTAAATGTATTTCTTGACTATAGTTTCATAAAATTATAATACATGAAATTAAAAGACTAGGTTTAGGTAAAGGAATGGAAACAGCAGGCCCTAAGTACTGTTATCTTATAATTTTTTAAATAAATTTTCCAAGTACTTACTTATTAAACAATGTATGTTATGGGAGTAACGGGAATTGTCTGGGATGGTGAAGCTGCCATCACAGATAGCAACCTGACTCTCACCAAAAGGAAGAGTGAAGAAACAAAGTTTATACAGCAAACATCCCAGGGCCTGTAAAACAAAGAAGCATGAATATCATCAGAGCTCAAGTATCAACTTAACCACGAGACAAAGAAAAAGGTAGCCACAAACCAAAAACTAAATATGTTATTAAAAAAAATAAAAGCCTAATGTTTCTATACTGGATCAATCTTTTCACAAATTACAACTTAAACAAATTAATGCACTTAATTTTTAAAAAGGCATTTAACTGCATCATTACCATATTTTTCTATCACATCTGTGGCTAGCTGGCTGAATTAATGTTATCATGGAACTCTAGATCATGAATGATATAACTAAAATTATAAGTGGCTGGTTCCCTTCGGGAGCAAAATTACACTTTTATTTCTTTCACAAGGAAAATATATATTTAGTACATAACTAGCATATAACAACCAACGATGTAAGCACAAGGCTCCTCCGAGCAGAATTCTTTAAAAATTCACTATAATATCTGTTTTAAAATTCCAAGTACGAGTTAACCAGCACAGTTAAACTTAGCAGACAACCATCAATACTGATTATTCCCTGATTTTCACTGATTTCACTGAGCACGTCATTATTTCATAATATATTATTCACTGAGCACATAATATAAAAATTCGTTCTCTACTTCTATATATAATCCTACAATTTTAATTCTATATTACACTAGTCATATTTGCACCTGGGTAATCTATATAAAATTCAAAAAGGAAGGGCTCTGTCTGCTTCACTTGCATGGATTCACAGACATCATAGCACCAATAAATCTACTTGCTGACAATGAAGACAAAACACCGTAAAACACAAATTGCATCTGGAAAAGTAGCACAGGAAATTTTTAGCTGAACTGCCAACAGCTCACACCTGAGACACAGTAATAAAATGTGATTTTCTGCTCAAGAAATCATTATGCTGTCACAGGAAGTGTCACCTATAAGCCTTATGAGTGTAAGGGGTGATTCTAATTCTAAATTGATTATATAAAATTATCCAGTAGTAACTATACAATTACATCAGCAATAACTGAAATTTGGCCTATCTAAAAATTAGCAAATCAGCTTTCCTTCGTTGGATTTTCTCCACACAGCAACTTAGCAAACCCAATTAACCAATACACTAGCTTTATAACTACTATGAAGATCACAATATACAGAAATACCTTTCTGAGTTCAACAATATTAACTTACAACACATTATTTTCAGTACTGTAACAGTCTTCCAATGAAAAAAGTTTAAATACTCTAGAAATTTCAATATATTAGTTCAAAAACATTACTAGATTATTTGCCATATGACTAACAAAAGTATTAAGATTCTGAATAGAAATAACCAGTTCAATGTGGCTTTAAAAAAATTACAATGCTTTTTTTCTATAAGGAAGATATTTTCAGCTTTTATGCAACAGATTGAGCGTAAGCCTTCCTTAAAAGCACTAAAAAATATATTATTAATGGTGTAATATCTGCATTAAATTACACATTTCTTCTGCCCAAATGATAGTTAGGCCAACAAGATCTGCATTTTAGCCAGTTTTATCTTGTCAATCAAACCTTTAATAACATATCTTTTGTTGTGGGAGTTCCCAGATAACAATTTTAGACAGCAATGCCAGTATACTTAAAAAACATAAATCTAAAATACTCTTGCTTTACAGAGTGTGAGCACAGTGAGGTGTCTTAATTTTTTTTCACACCAAAGGCATTTCCCTCTTTATCCATTTGATACAATGAGAACTGTTGAAGAAACAGGAGGGAACGAATAACCTTATTTTGAAGGCTGAGTATCACCGTCTTTAATTTTCCTCGTTAAAAGGTAACATGAAGCATCTGTCACTGAATTTCCTACTGGTCAATAAAATCAGCATCCTAGTTCTCAGGATAAAAATAACCTACAATGAAAACTTCAAAACAAAAATTTCTTTCCCAAAATATACATGCTAAATGAATACTTTAACCTCAATATCATAACCCTCTGAATCAGCAACATTTTTTTTCTGGATATTCTTGAATTCACACCTAAAATGTTGTAGCATTTCATCTGAGATAAGGCAAGCATTAAAATGACGTCATGAAAATTAAAACTCTGTCAAGCATATAAACACAGATTCTGTTTTCTGATGACTTTTCTGGCTTCTTTTTTTATCTTTGAGTATCTATTTGTCATCCCACAGCTACACCAAGTTATCCATTATAGAAATACCGTCCCATATACTAACCTGTAAATGGTATAAATTTTAAACTTATCACTGACAATTTAGTATGCTGCCTGGCATGCATTCGAAGCCTGGTGAAAAATGAAAACAACAAAAAAAGATTCCCTCCTTTTTGTTAAGATATTGGGTTGCAAACGCGTTCTTAGAGACTTGTTTTTTTTAAATCAACCCTTGATGATTTCAAAACAGCAGTCAAGCAATAATGTCTGTTGTTTCCTCTGCTGTTGAAATACGCTTTTAGGTAATGTGGATTTCAACATCAGTCACAAAATTAGGCCAGGAAAGACTTCCACAATCACCTCCTCTAATTAATACTCATTTTATAAATTAAGATCCAGCTGAATTTGCTTTCTACATTATACTGCAAGCCATTTACTATAAACCATTTAATGAGTCAAATGTTAACGCTGAGAAGAGCAACGGAATTTGAGTCACACAAGCTGGTGATCTGTAAGCAGTATCAAATTAGCTAAATCAAACCTATTCATGGTTTGATTAAATTATGTATATGGTTAAAAATTCAACTACCAAGAGATTTAAGAACCACTAGTCAAAGAGTGTATATTATGTAGACAAAGGAAAACCAATCATAGATACTCTTTTTTTTTTTATTATCTTGCAAGAATATCTGGTATCCCAACCCCTATAAGAGAAGGCCAGGAGAGGGGCACCAAGAAGATATTCATTTGGGTTCACACGTTACACTCGACTACTTTCTTAACATTACGTTTTAAATCAAAATAAATATGACTTTTCTTGGAAATTCTAGAACTACCTCCAAAGGAGTATTTTTCCTCCATCCCTAACATAGCCACTAGTGGTAGATGTGGCTAAATACCTGATAAATTTAAATGAGTTCACATCTAAAATAGAGTTTCCTGCTAGTTTATTAAATATAGCCCAAACATATTTTACTTCTGAAATAAGTTCTAAAGAAGTGCGGGCACTCTAACATAAAGTTCAACTCTATAGAAACATGATATATTTCAATAATTCAATCCAGATATAGATGCTAAATGATAAAGAACCTCAATATATACAGGTTAGTCAATGGTATGTTTATAATTTTGTACAAGTTTTACTCATGTTAGTTTCCACTAGAAAGATCCTAAAATACTCCAGAAAATTATCAACAATATTACGTAAGAATTAGGTCTAGCTTTTCCATACTGTGATCAACCAAAATTGCACTCAAATCAAAAAAAATTGTTAACAATCATATATAATTTAAATTCTAAAAAATACTGTGATAAAAAGTTACATTATATGGAAATCCTTTATTTGCCTTTTTACACCTAAGCTTTCCATCTCAGGATCAAGAAGATAATATGTGCTAATATTTTTCTTCTGAAGAAGAAGCTTTACTGTCCACCACTCTCTGCTACTTATTAGGAAATACCTTGCGGAGGACAGGGGGAAAATAATCAGATTTTGTTAATTTGGTTAGTGAAAATGTCAGCCTTTCTTGGCCTTACCCAGATATCAGCCTTGGTGGTGATAGGTTTCCCTCCATAAAGGTTGATCATTTCAGGGGCTCTGTATGACAGAGTTGTATACCTGGCAGTAAATAAGTAAAATGGAGTGGAGATATAAAAAAAAAGACAGATACTACATTGTTTCTACATAAAATACTACGAAAAGCTTTTAGGTTCGATAACATTATAAAGAAATAGTACTATTTTAAAAGCTCATTAAAAGTCCATCAAGGATTAAACAATACAAAGCATCTATACACATTTTTATTGAACAAGTGCGATTGCATCTATAATGATAAAAACAATTTTTAATAGAAAAATTTTAAATAAAGGTGACGTATGGGAAACGTAGTTTTCCTTGAGTTTCTTATATAAAATAATACAATTTGACTATGAAAATATCCTTATCAAAATATTTTAGTCTATTAATTTAAAAGTAAAGCTTCCACCCTCTCAAAAAATTAATTTCTATGTTTATTAAGCAGCTTGTTTTTATGGACTCTAACATAATTCCTTGCACATGGTAGTAAATCTACTTTAGGTTTGTTTTTATAATTGTTGTTTTAAAAGTAATCTCATTGCCATAATTAACTATTATTAATTATACTAATTAAGTACAGTTCTAAAACTGTCAGGATAAGCAATTTGGAATTAAGATACTGTGAATAAATATTTACCAGTATAAAAACTCCAAATCCATTATGAACAGAATAAAGTAGTGCTCAATGAACAGAATAAAGTAGTGCAGAAATTATTAGACTATCAAAGGAATTCCAATATTATGGCATAATTTAAGATTCATTTTCAGTGTTTATATGTTTTATTTTACATGAAGTATCTTAAAGCTCAATATTCTACCATGTTACTTTTTCCAAATTACCCTGACTGGGTGATACATTCTGATGATACTACTACAGAGCAGTGATCTAAGAAACCAGAATATAAACTACATGAGGACGGGACTTTTTTTTTTTTTTATTCACTGCTATACTGTATACCAACAACAGTGTCCACTACACTGTAGGCCCTGAATAATTACCTGTTAACTGAATAAATGGTTAGATCATTAACTCCTCAACTGAGCCACAAAGCACAAGAACCCATGAGCTTATTACATTCATCACTAGTGTACAATTCTGCTGACCCTTAACTATACTTC